CGTGCTGGACCCAGTGGTCGACGATGATCCAGCGGAGGGAGAGTACATAGTCCACTCTGACCCAGCGGCCGGTGAGACGGGGCTCAGCTGAAGCCCATCTGCATAGGACGGAGGCGTGGACGCATCGGGCGAATAGATGGGCGGTGATGTAGAGGATGGACCGAGTGCCAAGGATGTATCGCAGAGCGGGCTTGGGGCGGTGAAGAAGATATCGGCAGGCGACACATGGCTTGGGAAGACCTCATAAAGGTCACCCCCACCCTCTGCCGTGAACTGCCCAAAGGGATACAATGCACTCGGGGCGACATTCTCCGGAACGAAGCAGCCGTCACCAGGGACGGTGGCTGAGCACGGGACCGGAACCATTTCCATCCCATGACTAGCCTGTAGACTGTCGATGCAATCAGTCACACACATAGAAAGCATCACCTTGTTGACTTACTCTGTATGTGAAGATTGGTCACTTGCAGGGTCGATGAGGCCATTGAGTTCATCGACAGTGTAGTCACTGAAGAGAATGCTGTTGACATCGGGCGATCCCGAGGGGTAACCGGGAAGGCCAAGATGTGAGCTAGACCACAAGCCTAATCCATCAAAGGCTTCTGAGGGCGCGGTGGCACCAGAGTCGAAGCCAAACCCAGGGATGTTGTTGAAGTCGAGGGGCAGGTACGGAGCGGCGTCACGGTCCTCCCGGCGAGTGGCGGACTGCATACTGTCGGGGAGCGGGCGTTCTTCGCGCTGCGCCAGCGAACGATGAGGACGACATGATGATAGGACCCATTGCTTTTATATGCGTAGGGACAGTGGGCAGCTCGCGGTCGTGTAGCGCAATGGCGAGGAAGTCCTGCACCTCTACAAGCACTTGGGCGTCAGCCAGAGACTATACCGGATATGGCGCGGCGTTCGCCGGCGACGGCGATAGTGCCGCTACTGCCCAATTCAGTAGCGGCACTATTCTGGGTAGAGATATTGCTCAGACAGGCAGTCAGACATACTTTTTACAGTACTCTCATTCCCTTTTCTATCATGTCCTAGGTTTCCTTTCCGGTACCTTGCCATGTACACTCGCTTGTATAGTACAGCATAAACGCAATGAGTATCGATGAAAAATGACATACTTGAGACGACCGCACATTCATATATACATCCCTTATCTATATCGGGCAGGCCCAAATACCAGTTTGAGATGGAGGAGGCCATAAACAGCCATAGAATGCACGCTGTGATTGGTTGATGTACAATACCGTACATTCTTGCATGTAAGTATAGTGTGCGCTTGGGATCTGAGATTGCACCTGCCTGTACGCGGCGTAGATTCGTCGTAAGCCGTTGTGTCCGTACCTACTCCAAGCTTAGCTATCTGGCTCTTGCCAGGCCACCGGGATTGTCTGGAACGCAATATGGGCCTCGATACCGATGTGCTGCCAACGCAAACAGTGACTGTGCTTCATACTCCCTCCACAGTCCCATCTCCATCCCCTACCAGTCCGCCCATCCTCGAACTCATTCGCTTCGCGTCTTCTTCGCTCAGTGTCATATCCACCTACACTCGTCGCTCCTTCACTTATCTCATCAGCAAGCCGCTTTGGACGACGCTGGCCGTAACGTATCGCCCCCTCTCGTACTTGCTCGCTCCGGTCTTCGTCTTTCTGAGCATCCTTTTGGACGTCTTCATCCTCACCCCATACACGGTCATCAAAGCGATTCTGATCAATGTCTATCCCATCTACGTCTTTCTCGGAGCGAGCCTCCTATGCGCTGCCTGCGTCGGGCTGGGAGCACGCCTATGGGTGAAGGCCATACGCTACGTGATCTTCGGCTCGAAACCCGCATCGCGCACTCCAGCCGTTGCACCAAAAGCGAGAAAGCGCGTATCCATCAAGGACGTAAAGAAGGAGCATTGATAGGTTCATTGTGATCCCCTACGTATAGTGAGTAGTGGTCTTTGCGCGCCGTACGTCGCGGCCCTTCATATCAACGTTGTGCAGCTTGTCGCCAGGTATCCCAAGCACGGCGGGCGTCGCATGCGCATGCCCTTGATCCACAGCTTCTTTGAACCACAGCCGCGTGCGGGTGGCGTATGATACACCGTGACTCGTCAAACTGTCGGCGATTTGAGCTCAAGGGTAGAACACTTGGGCATGGCACCACCACCCGTCCAAACACACCTGTATGGTGCTACCTGCGTACCCCTCTCCTCGCACTGCTATACGGATCCCGGAAAGGAGTTCTTAGGGTTGGTCGTTGCCATGTCTCCTGTGTCGTAGCATCTTGAACGTCCAAATCTTGACATAGTGGACAGATTTAGTGAGATGAAACCGTCCATACGATGTGTATGTCATTGGCCGAGGAGTAGAATAATATCTTCCATCACAGTAGCATCCTCCCCGCCCACCGAGGCATCGCAATGCACTCCCGCACATTCTCGACACCCGATACCCAGCTAATGAGCCTCTCAAACCCAAGCCCGAACCCTCCATGGGGCGCCCCGCCATACCTCCTCAGTTCTACATACCACTCATACTGCGCCCTATCTAGCTTCTGCTCCTCCAGCGCCTTCACGAGCAAGTCCTCGCGCTCTTCACGCAGCGAGCCGCCGGCGAGCTCGCCCAGATGCGGGACGAGGAGGTCGAAGCACGCGACGGTCCGTGCGTCGTCATTTGCGCGCATGTAGAAGGGCTTCAGGACCGCTGGGTAGTCCGTCACGAACACGGGCGCCTTGGCGACCTCCCCAGCGAGGAAGCGCTCGTGCTCGCTCTTCAGCGGCGTGCCCCACTTCGGCGCGAACTGGAACCGGCCTGTGGACGCGTGGTGCGCCTCCAGCTCCTTGATGGCGTCCGTGTAGCTCAGTCTTGTCCACGGTTCCGGGGAGGCAGCTCCGCGTAGTTGCTCTAGCAGTTTTGTGTCGCTGCCGTCCTTGGCGAACGCCTCCGAGTGTGTCCGAGTGTTCTCCAGTACGCTCTTCACTGCTGCTTCGACGACAGTACAGGCGTCGTTGACGGACCGCGTGAACATCCACTCCGCCTCGAGCATCCAGAACTCTGATAGATGTCGGTTCGTCTGAGAGCGTTCCGCGCGGAAACACGGTGAGATTGTGTACACCCTCGACAGCGCGGCGGCCAGTGCTTCTTCATGGAGTTGAGACGATACGGTGAGGTATGCTGGGCGACCGAAGAAGTCCGTGTGCTCGCTTCCGCCCGCGGGTTCAGAGTCGGAGGGAGGGGTCGCGACGCGGAAGATCTCGCCGGCACCTTCGCAGTCGCTAGAGGCCAGGATCGGGGTGTGCACGTAGCAGAAGCCTAGAGACTGCCTGTCAATGAGCTACGTCCGTACGCGCGATATGCGCCGCGCTCACGTCGAAGAAGTGCTGGAAGGCAGTGATCGTGGTTGCCCGTAGTCGGAGCATCTCGGCGACTCTGCTCGTCCGTGCACGGAGGTGGCAATTGTCTCGGAGGTGCTCAGTGGTAAGAGACTTCTTTTGGATGGGATACGTCTACGTGACCTCCAGTCAGTTGCGTTCGATAGTTAGAGGTGTGGAACGCACTGCGGGATCACATGCACCTAGAACCTCCACTTCCTCGACCCGCAGCTCCTTGTCCTGGCCCTTCCCAAGACTGTCTGCCAAGACTCCCCCCAGCCTGACACTTGCCCCATTCGTCAACCTGCACGGATTGCATAAGTCAAGCTGAGTAGTGTGGAGACATAGTACGGACGTTTTCGCCAAAGAGACATCGCGTATGACCGCCTGGAGAGGTTGTGCAGAACTGCCGTCCGAGATAACAGCAAAAGCGACATTCTTCTGGCGTCGTATCGACTTGACCCAGCCGTTCACCTGTACGCGCGCATCGGTTGCTGGCACGCTGAGGAGCTGGCGGATGGTGGGAGGAAGAATCGAGCCGGAAGCAACGCGTCCGAGCATTATGAGATGGACACACTGAAGAACGCCTCGGGTCACGAAGTCAGTTCGCAGGTGGTGGGCAAGCATGGCAATAAGTGTACCGTTTTTCCCTCCTTCCCATTGCCCGCCTAGCTCAATCGGATAGAGCGTCAGACTCTTATCGATCATCTGTTGGCGGTATAATCTGAAGGCTGCGAGTTCGACCCTCGCGGTGGGCTAATTACTCTTTTCATCTTATTTGTTTTCTTTCCGTCTCCGCGATCGAACACTTCACTCGCATTGGTACATACCATGACGCTGTGCTGTCATTGTGAGCGGACCTACATCGTAATCAACCATTAAACAGTATGCTACAATGTCAGGCTCGGAAATATACTCGCGTGGTTGTCCTCTCACGTTCACAACATGCGGAACCCATGTAGCTATGGTCCGTTTTGGATTGCTGGCAAAAATATTCAATTGGAGTGGGAAAACACGTAGTAGCCCACCGCGAGGGTCGAACTCGCAGCCTTCAGATTGCACCGCCCAAGGGACAATTGATAAGAGTCTGACGCTCTATCCGATTGAGCTAGGCGGGCTATACACGTGCGCCCGCCCTGCCCAATATGGCAGGAGGCGCATCAATCTTCTTCGCAAGGGCGGCGGGGTGGCGTTCCACTCTCAGCTGCCGCCATCATCCGTACTCGCCTTTCGCAGATCGACGCTCAGCTGCGAAGGTAATGATGGCGCTTCACGATGCACTCACAAGGAGGTGAGGTTTCCAGGTATATTCGATTCAGAAGACGGACACATCGGCGTAAAAATACACTGTACAGTATGTAACCAAACAACAGCATCCACTGGCATCAGTCCGTGAAAGGTCGTTAGTCGTGACTTGACTACTACTAATAGGGATGGTCGTACAAACACGGCCCACCCGGAGCTACTCTCTCCGAGCGAGCGCAAAAGCGGGTGCCGCCGCGGCGCGGCGCGCTGCACGTCAAAGCAAGGTAGGTCAGAACAAACGCGCGAACCGCGCGCTAGTCAACCTCCTTCTCGCGGACCTCCTCAATACTACGCGGGCGGGACGAGCTATCAGACTCGATGTCGGCGCGCGCGGGCGTGGCGTCCGCATCGGGGGCGACCTCGTCCTCGCCGGCGCCCTCCTCGAACGCGGCCTTCGCCTTCTCGAAGTGCGAGCCGTGGTGCTCCGGGCCGACGATGGTGCAGAGGACGAGGAAGCCGGCGACGACGCCGACGAGGATGCCCTGCACGGTCGCGTAGTCCGGGACGTCCGTCAGCTTGCCGTCCTTGAAGATGGTCGTGCGGATGTGGTTGCCGCCGGCTAGATGGGATACTGTCAGGGATTGAGGCGCGTAAGGGGGAGGGCGCGTGCTTACTAGTCTCGATTTGGGCGGATGCGGAGGAAACCATGTTGCCGAGCTGGTATGCAACACCAGGGAAGGTAGCACGGAACGCGAGAGGCGACATTTCTGCAAGTTGGATTGGGATCTGCGTACGAAACGGGAGTGAGAAGGGCGCTGAAGAAGTAGGCCGCAGTGATACTCACGACACCCCAGGCACCTTGTACACCGAACTGAACGCAGAACGCGCCAGCCGAGAGTGCGCCGAACGTGGATGGGAGAATCCAGAGGGGGATGAATGCTCCAACGAGCAGGACGAAGAGGACGATGGTGAGTCGTCGGCCAATGTACTGTGACAGCCAACCAGCGAGAGTACCGCCACTAGGAATCACAGTCAGCGACGTCGGTGCGCTGTACACGCCTGAACTATCTACTCACGCGATAGCGCCACAGTTGCCGATAATCGTCGCGACAGTGGAGTCATGCGGGCTGAAGCCCTTGGTCGTTTGCAGATACGTGGGGTAGAGATCCTGCGAGCCGTGCGAGAGGAAGTTAAACGCGGTCATGAGCACGACCGCGTAGCAACACAGAATCCAGTGCCTCCTGAGCATGACCTTCGTCTCGTGGAGGAAGACCTTCGTCTTGTGCTTCGTCGTCCGGCCCGACGCACGCTCCGCCGCCTTCGCGCGGAGGAAGACCTGGCTCTCCGGGAGGACCGCCCGGACGACCGCGGCGAGGAAGCTCAGGCCGGAGCCGAGCCAGAACAGCCCGCGCCAGCCAGTCGGCGTCTCGGGGACGAGAGTCAGGTTCACTACGGCCGCGAGGAGGTACCCGACGGCGTAGCCCTCTTGGAGGAACCCGCTCGCGAGCCCACGCACCTCCACGGGGAGGTTCTCGAGGGCGGTGGACGCGGCGAGCCCCCAGATGCCGCCCATGGCGACGCCGAAGAAGGAGCGCACGACGAGGAAGGACGCAAAGTCTTGTACGAAGCCGGAGCCGAGCTCGAACGCAGCGGCGAAGAGCAGGTTCACGACGAGCGGCCATTTGCGGCCGAAACGGTCGGATGCAATACCGAAGATGATCTGTGGGGTGGAAAGCGAATCAGTGGATGTTGATTGCGGGCGAGGGAGAAGGATCTGGAGGGTGCGCGCCGCTGCGATACGAGGCATGTACGGAACATCGCCGCCAAGCGCCCGAGGTGGGTCCCCGCTCGCGAGGGCGCGCACGTCAGCGGAAGGGACAACACTCACAGCACCTAATGACCTGAAGAGTAGTGTGAGTGTGATGGCTGTCGTCTGAGTGTCTCTGTCAGTTGATGGGGTACGATGTTGGAACAGTGGGAATACACACAATCGATGTAGCCTTTTTGTCGAACTGCTTCTCAAGAGCAGTCACGCTAAGCGACACGCTGAAGAAGTCGTACGAGTCGCATATCCAGGCTATCCATCTGCGACACAGGCATGCATCAGCTACAAGAGCGGGGAGGTTGTGACGCAAGGGGCGGTACGCACCCACACCAGAACTGTGCCCATTGTATCCATGTTAGGCTGCGAAGGGCCTGCCAGAGCGTCAGGTCGCCGACTTTCTTTTCACGACGAGGAATGACGTTTGAGAAACAGCGCCGAAAGAACACAGCTGCCGTAGGCGACATGGTGGACCAAAGGTGGGACACGAGCGTGTCTACGCGAGTCGAGGAGAGCTCTTTATACGGCCGACACGCTGCCTCTCTCGCGCGGAAGCATGATCCCCCGGACTCCCCACATCACTTCCCCCACACCGCGGACCAGCGTCTATCGCCCTTCCCGGTCCCGGCTCCCGGATCACCGTCGCTAGTTCGGGCAATGCGCGACACCGGAGAGTGCGTCCGACGCTCCCCGTAGAGTCATACGCGCGGATTCCATGGTGTCCTACTTCGTTCCATGAACATCCTGGCGTTTCCCTAGACCCAAGATTTCACCGCTCCCTGCGCGGTGCTGAGGGAATGCGCGAGCGGTGGCTGGCGTGGAAGTGCGCCAGGCACGGGTCGTCGGCAAGAGTGGTAGAAAAATGATCGATGTGAGATCAGAGAAGAAGCGATCGAAGATTACCCCAGACCGCGCGATCACCTGCCCCGCCGGCTACGCGCCACCCGACCGACTCACCGACGGCGCGGACCTCGCGCGGACTCCCGTCTCTGCCCCGACCTCGACTCTCCGAGTCTCCTCAGAGGAGGACACACCCTCTGGCCGCACTGCACCCGCACAGTTCAGCCGTACGCTTCCCTGTATCAACTGTTCCTGCACGCCCAGGTCGCCAAATTTGCTATCCAGTTAGGAATAGCTCGACATCATGTCATACAATATCATTTCCGCGTATGCATGTGAGACCTGCTCATCAGTCAGAAGCACACACCCAAGCTTATCCACCCATATGCGTCTGAAGCTCCGTCTTCCGTGTCTGCCTGAGTTGTGGCTACTGCTCAACGACCCGGGCGTGTAAGGACCCCAGGAGTGACTCGACTCCAACGCTGCGGAGATAGTCATAGCTTCTCCCGAAGACACGGACGGAGGGCCGCTCGTGCTATATGTAGGTGGGCGAATGCTTCTGCGGGTGTCGTCGGTCTTCTAAAATGGAAGCCTGACATAGGAATAAGAACGGTTCTACGGTCGCTGTGGCTGAGCCTGCACGCCGTTGTCTGCGGAGCCTGAGGAGCATCATGCTGATAGTGAGTACTGGCGATATACTGATCATGAGGGGTCTGCGGTATCCGACGATAATTCTTAAACCTTTTTTGACGCGTTATTTCTTCTTCAACGTATAGCGGAGGGTCTTCACATAAGTAAGCACAAGTATAGGGTGTAGCGGACTTAGCGGTTACTATTAGGGTTAGCACTCGGATTTCGGTCCCGTCAACCGGCGGGAGTGTCGGAGAGGCGCGCATCCAAATGAGGAAGGCTGCCCCTTCCGATCCTAACAAGGTCAAACAACCTCTCCCGGTTGCCGCCACCGTGCTTGTCGCGCGATGGCTCCGACTCGGAGCCTCTGACGGCCGCTGAGTTGCTGAGTCGGACGGCCTCTAGGGTCCCTGTTGTCACTACCTCTCCACCGCGTTCCTCGCTTCGTGCTCGCCATGTATACTGCTATAGTCTATGTTGGACTTCAGCAATATCAATGCTGCTCAAACGACCAGCAGAGTCATGATGTTCAATAGTGCTCTTTCGGTTTACTTATGTGCTTCAATGACTCTATGAAGCGATTCCAAAGTAGCACGCGGATAGTGAGTATTCAAAGCTTTTTCAATCTCCACGAAGTCGCTATTAGGTTTCGGAATCCTTATAGGACACCACTATGTCCAATGACAGTCCCATGGTTCGGATCGCACGCCGTCGGACGCGTCGGTGATCCCTAACCGTAGACTAGGTTTCTAAGTCCCGCTTTTTGACGGCTCTCTCATTCCGGGACACCTCGTTTGCAGTGCGCACGTCCGAGATACGTTTGATACCCCCCCTGGAGGCAATGCTTAGAGCTGCGCGGCCGCACCCGGGGAAGATGGTCGCGTTCGAGTCTCTGCGATGACACTAAGAGTCAAGCATCTAGGTTCGCCACATGGGATGGGCTAGTATGCTAGTGGGCGGCGGCTAGTCGGTCGACCTCGACCTTACGGACGGTGTCTTGACCACAACGCATCGGATACGCGGTACCAACATTAATCAGCATCTGTTGAAGGCAGCTCGCCAATTCGCGCGCATCTGAACGAAGATCACGCTCGGGGACCTCGATATCTTGTCTCAATGCGCGCAGCAGCTGGGAGGACCATCGCCACGGTGAGTGATACCAGACAGGCACTGGCGGCTGAGGTGGCCTTGAATCACTCGAGACATACGATGACAGACGTGACACGAACTCGTCTGACGTACTTGTGTCGCTCGATGTGATACGATTGTAATGTCTTAGAACACACCAAGAACTGCTGAGGATGACATCCAATTGACCAATGATCAACCTCAGCAAGAGTGCAGATGCGGTACATCTGTACGCCTACGACCCGAATGAACATCCTACTACAGGCTAAGTAGCTACTCCTTCCAGGCCCCTTAGTCGAGATCGTCGTAGAAGGCACGAGCGAGGATCTCCGCGAGGTCGCGCTCGGAGACGGCCTGAGCATGGTGGTGGACCGTGTTGCTACGGTGGAGGCCCTGGCCTGCGTGCGTACCAGTGTGGGCGTGGCTGCCCTGGTGGGAGTGTGACGACGCGGC